AAATTTCTGTTCTTTCTAAATTACTCAGTCTCAGGTGCTTTATGACAGCAGCTGGAATGGACTAAGACACTGGGAAATATTACTTCTCCCCAAAACTCCAGAGAAAAGGCTCATGACTGCAGAGAAATTTTCTAGGAAGAAAAGCAACATAATTAAGGCACAGGAGTCCTTGCCTTGCTCTCATCCTGAGTGTTCATGCAACCCTGACAATAGCAACTCCACACTCACTGATTTGTCTTGAAATCCATCTCTAGAATTAGCCCTCCTCCTTTTTTCTCTTCCTTTTGTATGACATTTGGTCCCATTCTCAGGGAAATGCTGACCAAGACTACTTTGGCTCAGCATGTTCATTGTGTGTTCCATAGTTCAGCTCTACCTGTCCTCTCCCCCTTCTCAGGGCCATCGTGTGCGGACCCCACACAGCCCTCCTACCTTCCTCAGAGGCCTGCAGTCCTTCCACCCACCTCTCCCTGCCATCATCCTTGATTACTTTAACATACATGTTTATCTTTTCAGTTCTTGCTATAGCAAACGTTGCTTCTTCCATAAAGCCTTCTACCATTCTTCCAGGAAGAAATAAACTGTTTATATTCTAAGCTCTCACATTTCCCCTACTCCAGTCTCATTTCATTTAAAACACTTTGTACTTTGGTTACACTTTTGCATATAGTTTTTCTAATACTCTTTGAAGACAAAGGTTAGACCTGCCCTTCCTCAGTATTTACTACAGCAATCTGTGCAGCACCTTACATATACTAGTGTTTTAAAATGGTTTATTAACTAGGATCCATATTCATAGATTATTCAAAGATTATTGAGTCAAATGAATGGCACTGTGCTTGCAGTTGGGAACGCTGAGGCTGAGTTCAGTTTGCGAGAAGTCTGAGACCTCAAACCATGATTATGCACAAAGGCAACATATCAAGTCTGTGCTGTGCTTTTGCTCTTATTTTAATTATACCCAGAAGAAAATATTTAAGATGTCATCAGCAATGTTTTCATAGTTCTTAACGCATTTCTTAAGTACCTTCAAAAATCTGCATTAGTTATAATGATATGGTTTTTACGGCTTTCATATGAAAATTAGATATGAGATGTCAAAATGACCAAGGACTATACCAAACCTTCCCTCTTTATCCTGAATAGGCATAAATTGGCTACCTATTCATTTGAAAAAGGAGGCAAGGTGAATGATGCATCCAACAGCTCAGATCTGGCATAAGCAGGCACATAAAACGAGGTAAATTCTAGCAGGTTCCATGGGGCCACTGCTTGACCAACCTGCAGGAAGGGAGCAATGAAGTCACAGTACTGGTTCTTACAGACTAATTAAACTGGAGAACTCTCATCATTCTTCCTTTTGAAAAGGGCCAATCAATACCTGCTGCTTTTTTCCTTCTACTTCTGGAAATTAAAGGGTATAGGGGCCTTGAGCACCTTCTAATCCTGAGTTGCTAAAATAGCCTGGTGTAGGTGCATGGAAGTGAAACACGGTTTCAGTCCTTCCTTTGTCAGACCTCCTAAGGTCCCTTAAATCAGCATGTAAACCAAGAAGGCACAGATCTCCCCTCTGTCCCATCAATAAAACACATGACACCTTCGATAGATGTCCTCCATAGGAGGCAGGGTTGGGTTCTTCTACATCAGGTTCTTCTCATGAATGCAGACATGCAAATGTCAACATGTCAAGATCGGCCCTCAAAAACTTTCTTCACTAAATCCACTATGAAAAGCTACAAACTTGTACCTATTTTTAGTATCAAACATTTCATTTACCAGATCAAGCTACATCACAGCTCATAATCACAGGTCAAATGTTCTCAATCGCAGGCACACTGGCTCATAATACTTCTTAAAATAGGCTTTTTAAAAAGTGTCTCTGTAGCTAGCCTTACTAAAATAGGCACAGCAAGAACATGTTTTTGAAGGGACCAAATCCCAAAGCAAAAGTCTTAAGGCAGGGAACTCGGGCTGTTTTTGTTATAAGTTTGCAGTTGCCCACAGACACTTCATCTGGTCCTGCCCAAAAAATCTAACAAGAATAAAATGCCTCTGATATTAACCAGATGTGACTATCAGATATTTTAGAAGAGAAGTTCTGTTTATGGTTCCCGAATTATTAACCTCAAGCTTCCAAGAACCCCTTCCCTACCAGCAGAGATCCCTAGTAGATGCCTCAGGTCTGGGCAGTGGGCTGGACAGAGGAATAGGTAGGAGGAAGAAGGGCATTCCCCACCTGTGCTCTGACCAGATCTTTCCTGAATATATCCATTTTACATACTGTTTTATTAGATAACCTCTAGCGATTTCATTTGAAGGAAGAATTACACATGTTAAAAAATGCTGAAAACCTCTGTCCTAAATAAATCTCCTTGATCTTAAAATCAGCCAGCAAGGAAATCGCTGAGCTGGGTAATCCAGGAGATCTACCAGCCAGTCAGTCCTTCCACTCCCGACCAGTTTCCTCTGATGTCAATCCAGGGGAACTGGCAAGGCAAGATTCTCTAGAAAAGTCTAGAAAAATCTAGTTTCTTTATATTATGAAACATACGACATAAAGCCTACTAACCAAACAACCCTTTATTCTGGCAAATGCGTAGACCACAAAAATAAGATTGTGAGCTGCCACTACTCACAGGGGAGATTTTATGGTGTTACTGAGCAGAAGCCAGGACTCTGTGGAAGAAATTTATTTTCATCTGGGATTCTTGGCCAGAAGTGTCTTCCCACCAAGAACTGTGTGAAAAGCCTGCCATTGCCATGATTCCTGACCACTGGGCTCTCATTCCGCAGGTAAAGCAGCACAAAGGTGAGGCACGTCGATGCCCTCCAGCCAAAGCCCAGCAGCAGCACTCTTTCAGTTGACAGCCTGGGTTCATTAACACAGCATGGGGGCGGGAGAACCTTCACCAGAGAGGATCATGAGCATCTCAGTAGCAGAGTGTGAAAACTTCTTAACAGAATTTGAGCTTTGGTTGGGTAATTTTGAGGAGGGTCTAAAGAAGTGGGATACTGTTCTAGATTGGATGCTGTCAGAAAGCAGGGATAATTCTATGACTGAATATCTCAATAATTCTCCCTATAAGTAGGGCAGAATAAAACAAGAAAAAAGCTGTAATTGGTAAAGAAGTGATAATCTTGACAAAGAACAGGCAAGGGCCAATGCTAGCCAGAAACAGATAGTATTCTCGGTCACACCGGGTAAGAATCATGACCAATTCCTTTGTGCAGAAGACCTTGTTGATTTCAGCAACAGACTGAAGAATATCTATGTCTACACCATAGCTCTGCACATGTCACTTAAGGAATTTTTCTGTCCTCTTCAAGAAAGCTTGTGTTAAAGTGCCTTTCCTGTGATCACTTTGGGCAGTTACCTGGCGTAGGTAGACTCTACCTGACGATTTCAATCGCATTTCTGACATCCATAATGGGTTAAACCAGCTAAGTGTCACTACTTGTTTCTCAAACTATCTGTAGTAAAGAAACAGTTTCTCTTCTCCCCACTTTCAAACAGTTATTTTTGTACATATAAATACAATTCAATCCAATAAAAGATACAATAAAATCTAATTACTAGAATAATAAAATGAAAAAACAAGACAACAAATACCAGCCCCACTTATTATAATTAGGCTCACACCACATACAATAACTGTCAAATTGCTATAAAAGTTCCTTAACGCTTGGTCTCACTGTCTGCATGTATCTTGTCACAAACCTGAGTTCGGGTAAAACACTTTGAGTGGCAGTGGGGTTTTGAAAGTTAAATTAAAGGCATTCTGTTTAATATAAATTAATTTTGTCTGGTGTACTGCCCATTTCAAATTCACACCAGGAGGGAAAAAATTTCACTGATGGAGAGGGTCTTGCTACAAACCTCTAACTTAGTGGAGAGTAAACACTGAGGCTAGCTCCTCCCTGAGTGCAACTGGCTTCAAAGACCACATCCGGAAAATCAGACCACTGCAATCCCTTCTACACCAATCCAAAATTAACTAATCAAAAGGATTAACTTTCCAATGCAGGTAGAGCCTCAATGGTATTCTCTTCCATGTCAGGAGACTTTACTATACACTTGCTGGGCAGAGATTTTTCCATTGGTATTTTTAGGCTCAAAGTGGCTGTATTTTCTACTAGGACAACTTGGATTTTATTATAATCCAGAGCCTCCCAGGACAGTGGTTTTCTACCCCATCAGGTTAGTCCTCAGGCATCTATGTTATCTCAGTATCCCTGCTTCCCTCCCTAAGTCAAGAAGAAAGCAATAGCTTTGAATTCCTAAGAAACAGCAGCCTGATCACTATAGGAAGAAAAATGGTTGCTCTTTTGCAACAAGGTCTTAGAATCAAATGTGTATGCAAGAGGCATAAACGTTTACACAATTTTCAAGTGAAAACTAGAAAGACAAAACAAATAAAAATATTTCATATCTACGAGGTATATAAAGATGGGTCAGTTACTATTGCCTTCAACTACAAAATTGGAAATCAATATATAAGTATTTTTATTTGAAACTACAGAATCAAAGCCACCATACAGAGAGAACCACATCTCATGTTCATAAAGTCATGCTATTTGGACAAATTCTGACAGAGGATCTGCTAATTTCCCACTTTAGCATTCTGTGAGGAAGCCCAAAAGACCTTCCTTATGAAGACATTCAAAGTTTCCACTTATTTTAGAGGAATCTGTGTTTCTTTAGAAAGTTTTCAGAAAGTTGTGAAAGAAATAAGGAAATAAAATCCTCCAATGTAACACAAGTACAAAGATAAATTAAAAAATGCTAAACTGGTTTGTCTTTTGTTTCTTGGACTAATGTCTTCATGTCACAGATTAAGCCAAAGCACAACATCTTTGACAGTAAACTGGTTCCTAATGCTTTTTCCTGAACTTAAAATACAACAACGAGGTTTCCTTTCCACCTCTACCTTCCAAACCGCGCGGAGGCCGCACGCACGCCCCACACCTGCGGACACACACGCGGAGGGAGTGAGTCTTACCAGACCGTCGCAGTTGCTAATGGCAACCGAGGTTCCCGGAACGTCCATGATGTCACCCACATAAGCACAGTTGGTCTGCAAAGGCTCTGTTTTCCAGGTTCTTTCTGAAGCAATTTCTGGCTGATGGCCATTAACGGGGTCAGTTATGTTCCCCGGCACCAGGGACGTCTCGCGCCACTCCACAACGGCCCCGGGAGCCACCAGCTGCGTGTTGGGCTTTAGTCGCAGGTGAAAATCTCTTCCGAATGCTGTGATGTTAAAGAACAGCTGCTCAGGGTTGGAAGACACGTCCCTCGCTGACCTCTTTTTGTGATTTGCTGAAAGAATATGGGAGAGATAGTGTCCTTCTAGGTTGGTGCTGATCGGAGTCACCAGCTCATACTCTCCCTGTCGCTTTATTGGTAAATCTGTGGAGTGAAAAATAGAATCATGTAACTTCATGCAACGGACGAACTCAGGGGGACATAACATAGGCATGAAGGGCCCACCTCACAAGACTATGCCACAATTTGCATAACAAATATATTCCTGAATCAACTCTGTTCAATGAATCATTTTTTAATTTAAAAAATTACATTGTGAATATTCATATCTCATTTATATATTTGAGATCATGAACATGACAAGTTTCCATAAACTATATCTGGCTTGCTTATTAAAATTAAGACTTATTCTCAATTAATTACTAAAATAACTGACATCGGTTATAAACTTTTAACAAAGTTGCTATTATGTAGAAGAAAATTTTTTCTTATTATTTTTATTTTTTCCTGTAGTAATCCTAGAATTTAGACTAATTACAACAGCTACCCTATGTTTCATCCACAATGAGCCTGTAATTTAAACTGTAGTTCATGTTGCCATGGTTTATACACCTTCTTTCCATCATCACAACTCTAAAAATCACATCCACAGGTGAGGAAACTGACACGCAGGGGTGGAGGGAGAGGCGTCCAAGCCAAACCACTGGGCAGCTCGGATATAAATGCAAGCTCCCTCCAAAGCCCAGATGCTCATTCTGCTCTACCATGCCTTGCTCCACAAATCCCCACTTTCAAAAATGAGGAAAATGGGTAAAAAAGAAGAAATAATAATCTATAAATTGGGCCAAGCGCGGTGGCTCACGCCTGTAATCCTAGAACTCTGGGAGGCCGAGGTGGGCAGATCATTTGAGCTCAGGAGTTTGATACCAGCCTGAGCAAGAGCAAGACCCTGTCTCTACTAAAAAAATAAGAAGAAATTAGCTGGACAATTAAAAATGTATATATATGAAACAATTAGCCGGGCATGGTGGTGCATGCCCGGGTAGTCCCAGCTACTCGGGAGGCAGGAGGATCGCTTGAGCCCAGGAGTTGGAGGTTGCTGTGAGCTAGGCTGATGCCATGGCACTCTAGCCTGGCCAACAGAGACTCTGTCTCAAAAAAGATAAAAATAAAAAATAATCTATAAATCAAATGTGCAGTGCCAGCTAGTCGAGAGGGAGTGGCATTCTCACACAACGCACAGACACCTGTTTGCACGTGCACGTGTATATGGAGCCCACGTTACAACACGGTGGCCACTTACATGTTAAACTGAATTTCACAATTAGAACTGAATTCCCCTGGCTTGTCCAAATGTCAGCATTGTGTCTATTAAAATATAAACACCCTTGGGAAAAATAAATGACCATTTATCCCTTAGTAGAAATAACTGCAACACCACAAGATAATGGACATTGGAGAACAAAACAAGGAGGGCAACAGGATGAGAAAGAGAAAGCATGGAAAGGAAAACCTGAGAACATGAACTAAAAAGTTGCCCATTTTCAAATTTCAAACCCAAGACTAGTCCTGGAGTACGTTAAAGTGCCCTGAAAAAATTATATGATTCACAAATACTGCTCACCTATAGAAATTGCAAATTTTGTCATCCACTAAAATATTCAGAGCATGAGATCTATAAATGAACCTATCACTCAGGCTCTTAAAATGCCCCTATAGATTTATTATGTTTTCATTATTTTTCCTGCTTTTCAAATACCTCAAGCAATGTGTAAAGTACAGCGGGTTTTCTTATCATTGTGCCACTTACAATGACCAACGTATGTAAACAAAATGCCCATCTTTATTAAATGCACAGACCAGTCGACTCTCCTGCACGTCCACTGGGCAGAGGGGGAGGGAGGCCGGTGACGTGACAGGACACAGGAGGCCTGAGCGGGCCCACAGCCCAGCCCCACAGTGGCAGCTCCATGCTGGGCCACACTGGCCACTAGCGTGAGCCAGACACCACAATCCGGTCTCCCTTGCAGCCAAACCCCTGGGGAATACTTTTGTAAATTCTTGTTTAAAGAAAAAACTCGAGATTTAAGGGAATGGACGTGAGGGTCCAGGGAGCAGGTGATGGAGCGGAAGTTCCCACAGGAAGAGATGAATCAAGCCCCTGCATGTGGCCCAACAAGGCCCTAGAGACTGCAGACGGACTCCTAAGTCAACTGTAACTGTAAGTTCCTCGAAGACAGGAAACTCCCCACTCAACTCAGCTTGGTATTCCCACTACCATTTGATACAAGATTTCGCATGTGCCAGGGCCTCTTGCAGTTGCATTTGCTTAACGTGCATTAAGCTGGGAACGCAGGTAACCAGAGAACCGCTGCGCCGTCTATGCGGCCTCGCACGCCGGCTTCTGACACACACCACCCGCGGCCCACACGCATCTGGCTGCACCAGTCTTCCCAGCTGTGATTCTCTACCTAACCGTCAGTTACTGTTTCAGGGGAAGGAGGAAGCAATGCTTAATTTCAGCGTATGGATTTCCCATCTCCACCAATGGGAACTCGCACAACCAAAGTCTAGACAACCAAAGTCTACACTGATGCCTGGATTAAGTGACTGGAGAAGAAGAAAATTTAGGAAGAACACAGGGAGGCTCCCCCATGCACAGGAGGATACCCAGAGCCTCGCGCCTGCAGTAAACCCTACATCCTGGATTCTCTGGGACAGTTCCATTTTCCAATGTTAGATAATACTTTCTGAATTTTTATTCAAATTAAGGGTGGTCTATTTCTATAAAGTTTTGTTTTCTCTAATGCTAAAAAAACAAACCATTTCCAAATTGCACACATAAGAAATATTGCTGGAATTAAACCCTGAATGAGTCATTTTCCAGTTGGGAATGAAGATAATCAGAGGAAAGATATACTTAGCAACGCTAGCACTACCATCTTCTGGATGGTAGTTAACGGCACTGACAGAGGCATTACCCAGTCACCTGCCATTTATCACCAGAACAAACACTGAGCAGCTCTGTATTTGTGCTTGAGAACATATCATCGCTAATACAACAACCACAGTACGTAAATATTATCGCCCCCTTTTACAAATGAGAAAACAGACCTAGAAGGCCTACACACAGCAAGCAAGGAGCCAGAGAAAATTTTCAATTCTGACCATTTTCACTCTGAAGACCACACTCTTGCACTCATTCACTCCAGTACACATGGGACACTTGCTGTCAATTTATGGTTGAAGATCTATAAAAAAGAATTACCACAATAATAATGTTACACCTACACACAGCCAGTTGGCCAATTTTTCTTGGAGCGTAGCATCAATAATTTCTCTAAAAGGTTCTTACATTCTGCATCTGTGGGGGGAAAGGGAGGTGGGGGTAGAAGCCCAGAGCTATCAACAGCATTTTAATCGAAGGTTACAATCACATAAGCAAACCAAATTATGTCTGATGTTAATTGACCACATTCAGAAACAACACATTTTACAGGCCCAACTATAATACTCCCACAAAGCAACACAGCCCATGGTGAAAGGATGAACTACAGTGTCAGAAAGCAGCAAGTTGAGTCAACTTATGATCTTGAACAAGTTCTCTATTTTCTCTGCGGCTCAATCTCTTTGATTGTTAACTGGAGATTTGTAATAGTTCCAATTTCACAGATTTGGCGAAAGGTTTAAATGGGATTATGCAGAAGATTCAATAAATATTAACTATTACTAATTTAAATGTAAGTTAGCTACTCAATAAAATAATGTCATGTTCACTTCTAAAGTTAAAACCATAAAACTGTCAGCTGAGATGGCGAGGGCCACAGCAGCAGGTGTGCAGAGGGTCTGTGGGCCGTTAAGTTCCACAGGCACGAGGGCTGCGGCCATCACAAAGCCCTACTGCTTGTCTGTCGCTCACTGTCCCAGCATGGCCCAGAGGCAGTGACCTGTCCCCAGTGCACTGGCGCCCGGGCACGCAGTCCTCTCCCCGTGGTGGTGGGCAGGAACCGGCACCTTCCCCAAGAACAAACCCTCTGCCACGCACAACAGCCCTTCTTGCCTTTTCAAGAACAATCTCACACATTGTCCTCTCTCTCTTCCCTCATCAAGTTTTTCCACATTAGATCATTCCCAACAGCAGACAAAGAAGCTGCCATCATATCTCCATCTTTAAGAAAAAAAATCTTCCTGGATGCCCCACCCCATAACACCCCAGTGATTCACTCCTCTTAAGAGCAAAACGCTTTAAAAGACAGACTTTGTTTCATTCTTCCCATTCTCGTTCTTTCTTGAACACATTCCAGTCAGGTTCTTGTGAGCCCCCGGTGATAACAACCACATGTGCCGACGACAGTGGTAAAAAGACGCGACCTTTTTACTTGCTCTAGGGACACCATCTGACCCAGCTTATTTCCCCTTCCTTCTTAACACACTTTATTTAGCTTCCTATACAGCATTCTCTTCTCGTTCTCCCCTCCCTCGCTGGTCTCACCCTCTCATTCTCCCATCCTCGTGTCCCTGTATTTCCATGGTCTGTAAAAACCAAAGTGCCACCAGACGGGGTCTGTGGACTCCCCGGCGAGCTCATCCCATCTTCTGACTCTGGATGTCCTCACAATCCCGAATCTCCGGCCCGGCTTCCCCTGTGAGCTCCCCTTCGTAAACCCAGTTGCCTGCTGAGACTGTCCCAGGTGGGCTGTCACCAGACATCTCAACTCGCCATTTCCAGAAGTGAACTCCGATCCTCCTGCTCCAATCTGCCCCTTTCCATGTCAGTAAATAATAACTCTATTCTTCCAGTTACTCAGGACAAAAACTTAACTAAACCATCCATAACTCCTCAGGTGCTAAAAACCCAATCTTTTACCAAATTCTATTAATCCTACCCTCAAAATATATCCAGACTCTTACCCATTCCCTGCCACTACCCTAGGCCAAGTGACCGTCATCTCGGTTTTGAAAGCATTTCTTACCTGTCCTCTTTGCTTCTGCTCTTCCTCCCTACGCTTACCCTCAAAGCAGAGCCAGAACACTTTTGACGTCAGGTCATGTCATTTGTCCTCAAACCACCCCCCCCAAAGTAAACTGGCTCCCGCAGTCCCGCAGTCTGAAGCCGGGACTTCTCACATCTCGAGGTTTCTGTG